GTGTGTGTGTGTGTGTGTGTGTGTGTGTGTGTGTGTGTTTTAATGAATACAATATGTATAATATAGATAAATAGATAGGTACATATAGACAGATTAATCAATGGAGAAATTCCCTTCCCCCTCCCCCTGCCGCTCCCATCCTCCCTTTTCCTTTCCCCCCCCCCACCCCTGTTCCCCTTCGCATCCCCCTCCCTTCCTACTGTCCTTTCACCCTTCCCCTCCCTCTTTTCCCCCATCCTTCCCCCCCTCCCTCCCTCCTTTGCCTTACCCCCTTCCTTTTACCCTCCCCCTCCTTCCCTCTCTCCTCCTTTCCCCCCTCCCTTGCCCACCTTCTTTCACCTCCTCCCCCCCCTCCCCTCCCCCAGCGAACGAGCTCCTCTTCGAAGCGCAGGAAGTGGGCGTGGCCGAGATCGTCCAGCCAGACTACCTCAAGGACGACATGGTTTCTCATCTCCTGCCGACGATCGAGAAGGCGAAGGAGGAGCGGGCGAGGAAGCCGGGGATAAGGAAGATCTACATCCTTGAAGGTGAGGGAGGGGGAGGGAGGGTGAAGGTGAGGGTGAGGGAGGGGGAGGGAGGGTGAAGGTGAGGGTGAGGGAGGGGGAGGGAGGGTGAAGGTGAGGGTGAGGGAGGGGGAGGGAGGGTGAAGGTGAGGGTGAGGGAGGGGGAGGGAGGGTGAAGGTGAGGGTGAGGGAGGGGGAGGGAGGGTGAAGGTGAGGGGGAGGGAGGGGGAGGGAGGGTGAAGGTGAGGGTGAGGGAGGGGGAGGGAGGGTGAAGGTGAGGGTGAGGGAGGGGGAGGGAGGGTGAAGGTGAGGGTGAGGGAGGGGGAGGGAGGGTGAAGGTGAGGGTGAGGGAGGGGGAGGGAGGGTGAAGGTGAGGGTGACGGAGGGGGAGGGAGGGGAGGGAGGGGAGAGGGAGAGACATAGACAGAGAGATGGGGGGTAAGAAAGGTGAGGTTTTATATATATATATATATATATATATATATATATATATACATATATATTTATCTGTATCTGTATGTATCTATCTGTGTATCTATCTATAAGCATACATGTACACATTTTTGGGGGTTGGGGGTTGTTTGTGTCCGTCTGAAGTGTATGTTAATTGTTTTCTTTTTTTCCCTCTGTCTTGATCTTACACTTTGCTTTGTTACCTGTGGATCTCCCCCCCCCCTCGCCCCTTCCCCCTCCCCTCCCTCCTACCTTCATGCGAACACGTAAAATCACGTTCAAAACAAATTTTAAAACGGATATGGACCATTTTAGTGTTTTATTTATTCTTTTATTATTATTATTATTTTTTTTTTACAGGATATCCAAACAGAATGAAAATGCTTGCTGGTCACCATGCTGTAGTTCGCAGTAATTTTCAAATACGTCGCGACTTAAAGCAAAAAGTAAGTTTTATTTCATCATGAAAAATAAGTCTGATTAAGTGGATATCCAGTTGGTAAGTTTTTATTTTCGTTTCTTAACTATAAACGTTTAACATACCGTTTACATTTCTCGTATACTCCAGAGACTGTTAGTTTTGCTTTAGTTCCCCCCATTTTATCAAGCTTTGAAAAGAAAATGGGAAAGGGATAAACCATTTTCTGTACTTAAAAAAAATCTACTTTTACTTTCAGGCTCAAAATTTCCTCGATAAGATAAGGAAGAGAGTGGGACAAAATGCGACTTTTATTGGCTTCCACATACGGCGATCAGATTATGTCAAATTTTCGCAGGTGAGTGACTCGCTTAATCTCTCTTTCTCTCTTTTCTCCATTTTTTTTCTCTGTCCTGCCTGAATATGTACATTACACACACACACAAACACACACACAAACACACACACACACACACACACACACACACACACACACACACACACACACACACACACACACACACACACACACACACACACACACACACTAACACACTAACACAAACACAAACACAAACACAAACACACACACAAACACACAAACAAACATACACACACACACATACACATATATGTATATATATACGTATATATGAATGAACATATAGCATGTATGTACGTATGATCCATATATATCCTTTCCGTCGCAAGTTCCACGCACCAACGTAAACCTGTGATCGGTGTGAGCTGGAGCTTAGGGACACGAGTGCAGAATCACACGGGAAAACTATGCAAAGTGGTGCAATTGCAGAAGGTCAATTCCATATAGACACATATATTTGAGTTTGATATCTGTGAGAGTGAGTGCGAGAGCGTGGGAGGGAGAGTGAGAGTGAGGTATGTGTGTATGTGTGAGAATGGGTGAGAGGGAGAGAGAGAGAGAGAACGAGAGAGAGAGAGAGAGAGAGAGAGAGAGAGAGAGAGAGAGAGAGAGAGAGAGAGAGAGATAGAGAGAGAGAGAGAGAGAGAGAGAGAGAGACAGATAGACAGACACACAGACAGAGAGAGAGAGAGAGAGAGATAGATAGATAGATAGATAGATAGATAGATAGATAGATAGATAGAG